TACAAAAATTATGTCACTTTAGAAGATGTATCATGTTAAAAAAATGGGTTATGAACATTTTGTATATAATAATTTTTAAAAATAAAACTCTCAAGTTTATCAATACTCGCAATAAATGTATATAAATTTATTGAGAGATATGCTCATGCAATTTTGAAGTCAAATCGATCGGAAAATTAAGGCGATTCTTAATATCGCCAGCGTCGCCGGTTTTCCGGAGATCCACGTACTGGACAGAACGGTACTCAGCTATCTCAATAAAGAGACCTTTCCCCACATTAATGCAGAAATTTGGAACTCGGGAAGACTCCTCTGGATATTCCAAATCGAGATTCAGGTCAAAACGCGGAATCTTCCCACGAAGAAGAGCTGGAATGCTGTATCTTTTGGGGGCTTTGAGAGGGGTGGTAAAGTCTTGCGAATCTTCAAACAAAGCGTTGTTTCATGATGGGATGTTGTTTCATCTTGTTGGGCCGTCGTTTCCTGTTGTTGCTCATCTTCGGATTCTGAAGTCTCATCTTTGTTCTTTTTTGTGGTGGTGGGGGGTTTCTTCTTCCTTTTAGCTTGATATTGCTGGGGGGATGACCTTGAATGAGAAGGGTCAGTTGGTCGATCAGTCCGTCTTTTCTTTTTCGCTGTTGACTTGGGCATTGGAGGTATGGCGGACATTTTTCTTATTTTTTTTTCTATATCTCTGATATATAAAAAGATAAGTTATTTTTTTCCTATAAATATAATTTATATCTCTTATTTAAATTCGATGAAAACCAGTGCCAGATTAAGAACCTCAGAATCCCTAAACACTTAAATTTTTTGGTTGTCCCTTAAATGTAATTAAGAAGATCAATATAAATTTTAAATAATATTTTTTAATACCTCAAAATTGAGCAATTCAGAGTGTCTTGCGTTTAATGAGAAACCCCTAACCTTGCAGCAAGTTTTTCCTGATCGAGTGGTATAAGCATAGTTCTTTGCTCCACCTAAAATAAATAAAAAACTGAGTTTCCATTTTTAAGCATAGTGAAAAAGAACTATCATTTGAACATATTATACTTACCAGAAACGAACGNTATGGGTTAAGACGCAATTTATTTTTATAGAGGTCAATCGTCAGGAGCCCTAATCCTCTCTTTGGTGGACTGAAGACTGCTATAGGGATACCGATAGACTCACCCATGCCGCTGTTGAGGCATCAATATCCATCTGTAATTCTTCGTCTCTTCTGAATTTACGACTTTCCTCTTCTTGGGTTGTCGGGTGATCTTCGAGGGTTTGTGGATGGGGATTGTTGTTTCTCTGTCTAAGGAGTAAACAAGATGCCTCATAGATTCAAAATTGAGCAATTCAGAGTTTCTTGCGTTTAATGAGAAACCCCTTACCTTGCAGCAAGTTTTTCCTGATCGAGTGGTATAAGCATAGTTCTTTGCTCCACCTAAAATAAATAAAAAACTGAGTTTCCATTTTTAATCATAGTGAAAAAGAACTATCATTTGAACATATTATACTTACCAGAAACGAACGTTTTGATGACATCTCCGTCTAATTCATCGATAAAATCAACAAGGAAATTGCCAAGAGGAGGATCATTTTCACCGTTGCTTGCATATATTACCGAGTCCGTGTCATGGTATAAAACGGACTCTCTCATTTTGTCCATTTCGGAGTATAGCTTGATTCTTGCCCATGCAGTCGTAAATGTCGCAATGAATACGTTTGTCGCGTTGTCCTGCTCAATAAACTCATGACTGGTTTCCCACTGCACAGCGGCTATCTCAGAGCTGGGAAAATAGATGTCTTTGATCTGTAAATAAAAAGTGATTAAAATACTACAATAAAAAACTTTACGATCTATATTTAAACTGATAGATTATTTTTTTCCTTCTACACAAATTACCTTTTTTGTTAGATCTGCCAACAGCTTTTTTAATTCAGGTAGCGAGTTGACATACGTTATACGTGTTTTAGCCAGGTTCATCCCCCACCTAAGAAGGAAAAAAAGCATATTAAACTTTTAAAATATACATTACCAAGGAAAAACAATTAGTCAGGAAAATTAATTACCTTCCCCAAAAACTGTTAAGAGAAGCTTTTGAAACTTGTCATTGACTAGGGTTCTTTTCTATGTTTTCTGGATCTAATTTTATCCCTTCTTTCTCGAAATACTATTGGAGATATCTTTGTTTGTCGTCTTCTGTCACACATTCTCTCGGCAAACAGCTACTTTCTTGTTTAATCTTGAGAAAAAGATCAATGTATGACCTGAATAGGTCTTTAAATGATTTTTCGAAGTGGTAAACTTCATAAATCTGTAATACGAATTATATAATTAATAAAAAACACTTTTTTTTGGTTACTAACAACGTAAATAAAAAATTATTACCTTGCCTATCCTTTTCTTATTACCAACTTGACTTCTTCTGTCACCCAAGTACCGATTATTGCCCGGTCTTCTTCAGCGTGGGTGCAAGTAGTTTGCGACAAAGTATCTGCACATCGGAGACATTAATTTTTCGTTTGCTCTGTAGGGAAGAACGGGTAAAATAAGTCCTTTGGAAGCAAACACTTTACATTTAACAATCCCAAAATAGTTATCGATGTCTTCGAAGTTTGCAGTAATTATTTGTGGGTGCCCGACAGAATATTGGCAATATTTATTAACCTGTAAAATTAAAGAAAAATAATAATTAAAATTAAGCCATTTAAAAACCGCTACCGTTTTACACAGAAAATGCAAGCCTGTGTACTTACCCAAGGGTATAAGGAAGTGAAATCAACATATTTAGCTTTCCCCTCGTAGAATAGTCGTACAGCGTTTGTACAGCCACCGAAAAAGGATTGATTCCCTGGGGTTTAACCTATCTATCATTTTGTGATTTCTCGCAAAATCACGTAACTCCAGTATTTCTTTTTTCATCTCTTAAAATCGATGCTTCCAAAACTCGTAGTCTAGGGACCTCAATTTTTCTGTAGTTTCACTTGTCTTCTTACTCAATGTGGCCTTGGTCACTTTTTTTAATGGATGCATGGTATCCTCATCGAAACAATCCGGACAGCCATGGAAAAAGCATCCCTATTTATTAAAAATCAATGTAGATTCAATTTAAAAGTAATAACAAAGATTGGATAATTAGGACATCAATAAATACCTACATAAAATTGGTATACATTTTTCGTTTTTCTGCAGTGCCTATTAACAGACACTCTTCCTACTCGTACCTCTTCACTTCCATTGCACTCATGTTCAATTTCGATGTTTTGCTCTCGAGCAAGAAAATCCAACCATCTGATTGCGTCGGGACTATAGTTGGTTCTATTAACATATCCATTTACTGGTACCATCGCTATCGTATTTGGCTGAATATGCTTACTCCTGTGCACTGCCATGCAGAATGAAACAATTGTTATATAACTGTAACATACAATATAAAAAAATTAGATAAAATTAAAATCTGTAATAATAATAATAATTGTTTGCTTCACATCAGTAGTATGATATGGTCAGGAAGTAACTCACTTGTGTCACGTCTGACTCACTTTTCCCATGTTAAATCTCATAGAGAAAAGAGGAACGGCCAAAAGTTTTAGTGGCAACGCTTTTTCGATCGATATTCTGCTCTATCACGGTGTCTGAGTATCGATCGGATTTCTCTAAGGGAAATATTTTCTAACTCACTCGGATAATGTTAAACGTTTTTCGCGATTGTTTGCGCTCGTTATGATATTGGGTTGGATTTGAAATAAATAAAAATATGGACGTGTTTTAGAAACTATTTCAAGTAAGTGAAATAAAAGGAAATTTTTAAAATATCCGAAATAAGTGAAGGAAATAAAAAGTTGATATGATTACCAGATGAAATAGATAAAAACTTACTGTTTATGGTGATTATGATTGAAGGTTTGTGTCTCCGTCAGTAGTCGCCCATAGTTGTATAGTGTAGTACATGAATGTTCATTTAGGTCTTTAATGAATGAATTGAACAATTGAGTTTCCAGGAAATAATGTACAAATCGTTGAATGTAAATTTAGATTTTATTAAGCATAATTTGAGATTTAGACAATGGCCATTTCTTCATCCAAAAAATAAGAAATCCCTTAAAGGGATGAAATCAGAATACTCTCGATTGAGAGATCATACAGCC